TGACTTTTTAAATGAAGCTTGTATAATAAGCAATTTACATTTTTCTGATAAAAAATTTGTTTATATAAAGAATGTACCAAACTTCCATTGCAACCCCATTTAGAATACGAGATTAATTCTTTTGTCAATTCCTCAATACATAATCATCTGAGGTCTTGGTAACCTATATTTGTAAAATAAAAAATTGGTTAGTAAAATAGCGATTTCGGTCAATATCGGATTAAATTATAAAATTTCTAGCTCTCTCACTCTATGAAAGTTCTTCCTCGAGAGTTGATCAAGCAATACATAAATAGTACACAAAAATTCAGTTAAAAATGTTCTACTGTTACCTTCTAATATAATTTAGAGACGGCATGGTCTAATAGCGAAAATGGAATCCTTGCTTAACGGATGGTGTGAAAACCAAGTAAAGGTCAAGAATTGTCTAGTAGACTGGAATACCATATGTAATCAAGAGAAGCTGATTTTTGCTTGTGACGATGGAAAAGATGAAACCTTTGTAGCCAGCTGTGGTTGGTTTTGCAGTTTTAGAAAAAAAGATGCAACTGGCACATATTTCACAGAGGGGAGAAGCAACAAGTGTCAATACAGTCGTTGCGTCTGCTTTTCATGATGCATTTTAGAAATTAATATGGCACTGACGCCATATTTAATGTAGACAATACTCGAAAAAATGTAGAAGTTCTGGAAGAAAATTCATTGTTAAATGAAGAAAAGGTATTCGCAGGATTTAAAAGGCGAAAGACCCTTTGTTTGTGTATAGGTCTAAAAACCTCAGCGCCCTAATAGACAAATCTAAACCGGGATTGTCAGTAACTTGGAAGTCCAACCGAAAACCTTGGATTACTCCTTTTTTATTTGAAGACTGGTTTCGGAATCGTTTTGTATCGGAACTTGAACGATACTGTTCCTCTAACTAAAAACATCGCATTGTGATGTTAATTATTGACAATGCACTGAGACATTCGGCAGCTAAATTTATCTACTATAATCCTTACGTCAAAATAATGTTTGTCTTCAAAGAAGACTAGTTTACTGCAATCTATGGATCAAGGTGTTATAAAAACATTTAAAGCCTATTATCCGTTAAGCATTTTGGAATATAATATATAATATAATAATACTTTATTGAGCCAATTAAACAACAAAATAAGAATCAATCAAGAAATATACAATTCACAATTCAAGTCCAATGGGTGCAAGAGCAGAAAAGGCAAAAGTGCTACTGATTTAACTTGCACCCTATAAGGTCGGCAAACATCGAAAGACCGTAGTAACAACCGTTATAAAAATAACTAAAGTAAATAATATATAAACTGTTATAATGAAAACAATAAAACAAAAAGAAACATTCCAATTCAACACAACAAAAACAATGCGTTTGAACGCACGAACCGAGCCGGCACACCTCGCAGAACCAGGAATCAAATTCCAAACATTAATTCTTGTCAGGGTTGACCAAAAGAGTAGGTCTCTTAATTTCCATACATAAGTGATTTAAATCCTCCGTTACTTTATCACAAGCTTCCGATTGCTCACCAGGCAGGAAATCTAGATACAGTTGGGAATCATCAGCATAAAGATGATAAGAACAATACTTTAACTTTGAGAATAAATTGCTGGTATAGATTGTAAATAAGATCCCACCTTAACTGCCTGCGTTCTATCAAACAAATAACTCTTAAACAAAGAAACAGTACACTCAGGCACACCAACAAATTTAAGAATAGCCAATAAAAGGTAGTGATTCAAGATATCAAATGCCTTAGTAATGTCAAGCAACAAGAATAAGAAGGAATAAGTTTAATGTTTTCGATGCTGTTAGAATGATCATTCCCCATGATAGTTAGAATGAAAGGATGTTTGGAAAAACTTTGAACGGATTGCTTTACTGATTTAAATATTATTACTTTAGGAAGGCAAGTCGATGGACATGAAGTCCTGATGAGGTCGAGCTGATTGAAATGCCTCAACAAAATGACGCTAAACAAGATAATGTTGAACACCCTCTTGCACCAACATAAGAATAGCAGAATTATAGTCAGTTCCAAAACAGTTTCAAATCAGCAATATACATCAAAGTTGACTTGATAACCGATCAGGTATATTATTAATAAATGTTATAGATACAAAAGTGTTGATACCAGATCGCACACAGTTTTGACATCCATAAATTTCAACTGTATGCTATAAATCGTACCGTATTGCGTCTTGTTGGATATTATCACGATTAGTGGATTTCTTGGGTACCCCTTATGTTGACGTAAATTGACGCAAAGGTATGAAGTTGATTCTTATTATTATTATTGCTGCCGGACTGAGGGACGCGGTCCCTCTCGTCACCGCAACCTATAAAATCTATTGCAATTTTAGCCCTCCAAAAGTGTATGGCAAAGGTAGGTTCTTGGGGAACCTTAGTATTGCTCCAAGGTCTTGTTCCTTTATGTCGGTATGTGTCAAAAGAGCTTTACCGAAAATTTAGTGTCTTAAGGAAGTCTTCCAATGTGGAAGATGTGGTATTTTAGGGGCGCATGGTCGGTCAGGAAACCTGAGAGCATCCTTAGATCCCCTTTGCTGAGGCATAAAACCTCTTTGGTTTTATTTTGCGACGGAGTTATGATGCTTTTCGCATGTCTGTGATCTGGAATTTCTTTCCAGCGTAAGGCTACCTTTGAGGCCTCCAAATTGGTTATAGCGTCATTATATATTGATTTCCTCGGGTAAACTACTTTTCATTTGAAATGTATGTAATTTATCATTTTGCCACATTCTGTTAACACCATATAACGGGAGTTCATGTAGGATGTTCTCCTGCTGTGTCATGTTCGTTCCTTTTTGCAACATTTTAAAATTTCTTGGAAATCTTTTCAGGTATTGATTGTTGGTAGCTTTGAAGTACAAGACATTTGGACTTATTATGTAGCTTCCGATCACTAATTGCTTTTGACCAATTTTTTAGATTTTTGAATGATGGCAAATAAACACTAAAATCTAGAGCATATTAATTACAATTTTGTATTGAGTTTACAATTTATACTTACTAATTATGGTTCAATTATTTATCTGGATATCTGATCTAACAATGAATAAATTACTTCTAAATTTGCCTTAACTTATATAACTATTGCAAATAATTGTCAGTAATTATTTTAGTAATTATGGTAAGTAATTGTGATAATCTCATTGATAAAACTTGTAAAGATAATTACTAATATAAAATGAAACCATAAAAAAGGAAGAGAGTAGAAAAATAGGTAAGCAGCTTTTCGACGGCGTTTTGCGTGTCAATACGGTCACGTTCCATCGACGAATACGTTTTTTAATGGAGTTCGAGGCCGGGGAGTTGTCGGCAAAATGTCGTCACGATAGAAACGGGGAGCCGCTTAATATGCAAATTTAATTGGGAAAAAGTGTATCAGAGGCGGTGAACGTAAATTTCGCTGTTTCCCGTTACGAACGCCGACGTTATACCCTCTCCCAACGAGGTGCATGTTCTCCTCCACTTCTGAATTTAATTAAGTCCCCACGATATGTTCATTTTCATTCCTATCTGTTGACAGTAAAAAAATTCTTGGACCATCAACAACGTTAAACGTATTAAATAATAAGATTAAGAAATATTAGAGCCAGACAAGTAGTAGATTTATTAGTAGATTATTAGAGCCAGTAGTAGAAAATCCAGACAACTACAGGTCCATTTCTATTTTCGCAGTAACTTCGAAAGTCTTCGAATGCGTAATAGCAAATAGAATTTGTACTTTTTTTGAAAAGAGAAAGTTTTTCACTAAATATCAACACGGCTACCGTAAAGAAAAATCTGTAGACACAGCTATACAAGATACCGTACAAAATACTGGAAGCAATAGATAAAAGAAAATTTGTAGAGTTGGTAGAAGTTGATCTATCAAAAGCGTTTGATAGTGTAAACCATGCCCTAGATAAGCTGTATTACTACGGTATTCGGGGTGTTGCACATGACATTCTGAAGTCATAGTTGAACGCTAGGATGCAAATCGTGGTGGTGAATGGAGGAAGATCTAGTGCTGCAGAGGTCTCAGTGGGTGTTCCTCAGGGTTCGGTATTGCGTCCTTTGCTATTTATCATATACATAAATGACATGACAAGCATTATACCACATGGAGACCTTTGCCTCTATGCAGACGGCACAACTATCGTGTCAACGGGCGAATCAATAAAAGATGTTCAAAATAACTTCAGGAAATCCATGCACGCTGCAAAAGGATGGTTTAATGATAATGGTTTAACGGTAAACGAAGAAAAGACGCAATGCATTACCTTCAACAACGGACATAGCAATACCGAAAATAAATCCCCAAAATTCTTAGGTCTGTATCTAGACGAGGAGGATCAAATGGTATAGAACCCATATATAACCCAACCCATATAGATAATACTGCCAAGAAGCTAAATGGCGCAATTTACTATGTACGGAGAAGGAGTGCTATCAGTACCATAGAAGCGGCTAAACTCACATATTATGCCAGTTTCTACTGCGTAGCAAAGTATGGCATTCTGTTCTGGGGCATGTCTTCAGCAGCAGAGCGAATTTTTCTAGTGTAAAGGCTCCCCCAAACCAACGCGAAATATTCGTACGAGCAGCGAAGTTTTCGTTGCGATATTGTCGCCGGCTAGACCGTACACGGCGATAAATGCAAGGTCCCACATTGACGGGAATGTTTGGCGTTTTCAAAAGTACGTGTCTGCGAAACTGCAGCGATTTTATTTCTAGTCATTGCGTGCACGATTTTTGTCACTATTAGCGGTGTTTTTCGAGTGTGTGGTTTTTAAGAAATAGTTAATTTAAAAATTAATATGTCACAATATACAGAAAAACTAATAGAGTTAGTTAAAACATACCCCATTTTATATAACCTATCACACGAAGATTACAAAAATAATAGAAAAAAAGATAAGGTTTGGGATCAAATTGGCCTTAAATTAAACAAAGACGGTAAGTGTAGTTTCCTTTATTTCGATTATGGGTTACAATAAGCAACAAACTTCTCTCGGACATTAAAGGCAATGTTTGTTGCCCGTCTTGAATCATTTAACATAGCAGTAAAAACATTTTCGTGGTTGGTTTGGTTTACTTCTTTTGACAAAACATTGGAAGGATTATCGCATTGTGTCACTCGTAGGAAATTATGCAGAACGCATGCTGTTTTGATAATAAGTATTGTTGTTTCAACTTTAGTTGTAATTGGTTTCAAAAATATCCTCCATTTCTGGGATAGTATCCCGAAAGCATTTTCTACAACCCTTCGTGCTCTACATAACCGAACGTTGTAATTTTCCTTACGAGGACAAAGTTTTGATTGCCGATATGGAAAAGGTCTCATAAGATAAGGTTTAAGGGCAAACGCTTCATCTCCAATCAAAACATGAGGACAAGGTTCATTTTGCCCTGGTAATGGTGTATGATTCGGAACATTAATAAGATTTGCTTCAAACCTTTGACCCATGTTAGAGGCCTCAAAAATTCCGCCATCGCTATTTTTTCCAAAACCACCGATGTCTACACAGATAAATTTGTAATATGGATCGACAATAGCCATTAATACTATTGAAAATTTGTTCAAATAACAAAAATAATTTGAACCTGTTCTATTGGGGCATTTAATTGTAACATGTTTTCCATCAATAGCACCTATGCAATTTGGAAATTGCCACTTTTCTCTAAACCNAATTCAATAGTCCATAAGAATAGTCGTAATTTACGCTAAAGCGATTTGTTGGAGTATTACATTGCAAAACATAACGATGCCTTTCTAAACTCCTTATGAGTAACATTTACGATATTTTAGTTATGCAATATATTATTACTATTTTTTTAAATTCTTTTTTTGACGTAAAACATTAGAATTTGACGCACTAAAATTTTCTTTAACTTTTCTATTACTATGTGAGAGTGCTACTTACCATTGCAATAGATAAAGTTGCTCAAGGCTATAGTCATATTTAAAAATATCTATGTTTTTAGTTGTGCACGAAATTTGTTAATTAAAGGTATCAATTTCAATAAATTGTAACTTATTATTTATTATAGATGTAATGCAAAGCGCGATGGAAAAATAGCAATAACAGATAATACTAAAATATTTGATCAATCTTTATCGCTTACACTTAACCAAAAAGTACATAAATTCGAAAAAGTACATTAAATTGAAACCATGTACAGGGTGTCCAAATTTCGATGGGTTTGCAGGATATCTCAGTTATTATGAAAGATAGAAAGTTGCGGTTTTCGCGAACCTGAGCTACTTTTTTGTGAAACTTATAATGCCGCAAACCAAATTTTCATAGACTTCTTCGTTTTTGATATACAGGGAGTATTTCAAAATTTACGATTTTTAGACACTCCCCGTATCTCGGCTATCCGGAAACTTAGTAAAAAAGTAAAAACGGGTTCTAATAGATTTTTTCACGGAGAATCCAATGGTGCACGTAGAATTTTTCTAGTCATCACGGTTTTTGAGTTATAAACACAACTTAGGTTTTTTTAAATGGAACCACCTATATTTTATTTTTTTATTGAACTGGATTTTTTTCAAGCTTTTCAATGATATATAATACTCTATACTTACCTTTATAATTAACCTCGAAATTGAATAAAATACATTATTTTATAAGTAGGCAATGATAAATAGACTGCCTAGCCTGACGTCACAGAGATGGGCGGAGCTTATATCGACTCCAAACAATTTCGTTGCTAACCACAGTTGCTAATGATAAACCGTAATAAAAATGTCATAAAANTCCTACTCTGAAAGTATGTCCAATTGTTGAGAAACTATTTCCAGTGGCAAGAAATCTAAAAATAATATGTAAATATCATTCACATTTTGGATAAAACCCTTTAAATTAGTCGTATTAGTATTGTTTATATTTTTGATTAAGACCTTCAATATTAATATTAAATCATCTTCAGGTAGTGATGTAAAAAAGAAATGGAAAAATCTAAGAGACACATATATGCGGTACTTAAAAAATAATAAACCGAAAACAGGACAAGAGGCAAGCACAGGCAAACACTGGCAGTGGTCCAATTTCATGGAGTTTTTTCGTCCTTTTTTGGCATTTGCTAAGACTTCATCGAATGTTAAACAAATTTCAGACACCGATCATCCACAAAGGGAGGCTGAATTTGAAGTTGCTAATGATGACTCGAATTTAGATGAAATAATCAGCGAATCAGAAGAAACAATGGCACAAGATATAACCAACCGTAATATTAGTTTACAATCAGAAGTTGTGGCACAAGAACTGTGCAATTCGCTAAGTACGTCCACAGTGAAGAAAAAGTTAAAGAATGAATTAAAACCTACCACATCGGTACAATCACTAATCAATTATTTCCAAACGAAAAGAAAACAACCAGAATTGGATGAAATAGACATGTTGTTTTTGGCCCATGCTAAAACCATAAAGACGTTTTCTAAAAAACGGCAGGTGATGGCGAAAATGAAAGTTTCCCAGGTGATATTGCAACAGGAACTTGAAAACCTGGAGGAATCGTCAACACATCAAACTCAATGTAACAGTAGTTCCGTTACTTCCATTTCTTATAGCGATCCAAATTCACCTTATTCTCAACACCATTCAAACACTGCTTTATCCCCAAATTATTCAAATGGACCTTGTTATGATGGTGATCTAAATACTGAAACTGTCAAAGAAAAATGCCAGAATAGCTCTGCAAGTATTGCTAACTCTATTGACGAACCAGCAAGATTATCTGTCAATACAAGTATTGATGGTTCGCAAACTGCATCTGACTGTACAGGGTGTCCAAATTTCGATGGGTTTGCAGGATATCTCAGTTATTATGAAAGATAGAAAGTTGCGGTTTTCGCGAACCTGAGCTACTTTTTTGTGAAACTTATAATGCCGCAAACCAAATTTTCATAGACCTCTTCGTTTTTGATATACAGGGAGTATTTCAAAATTTACGATTTTCAGACACTCCCCGTATCTCGGCTATCCGGAAACTTAGTAAAAAAGTAAAAACGGGTTCTAATAGATTTTTTCACGGANACACTCCCTGTATATCAAAAACGAAGAGGTCTATGAAAATTTGGTTTGCGGCATTGTAAGTTTCACAAAAAAGTAGCTCAGGTTCGCGAAAACCGCAACTTTCTATCTTTCATAATAACTGAGATACCCTGCAAACCCATCGAAATTTGGACACCCAAATTTGGTACAAACACCAATATTATAAATTATTTTCAATTTGATCCCACAAATACTGAATAACATTTTAAGACTTTATTCAAGTTTATGTTTAGTTTTAAATTTAAGCGTTGCTGTATGATATTTTCATTTTTATAGTAAAATACATTTGTTAGTAAATGTATTTTAAAATGTAATATATTGTTTGCTTACCTTAATGTTATAACCAGTCGTTCCTCTGCTGATATAGATTCCCGATAATTTGTGTCTTTTTTTGTTATATCTCGTTTAATAAGATTTAAAATTTCATCAAAACATGCACTAGACATTCTAAAATATAGGTGGAATCTCTTTTCATTCTGACGAAGTTGCGACATCAACGTGTGATATTCTCCAAACTCTTTACGTTGAAGATTTATTTCGTGAACCCATTTTCTTTTTTTCTTTTGAAGAAATAGGTAAAATGATTTTATAATATATTTAGAAATTGTTTTATTGTAACAATTGTATAAAAGTAGATACTTACTTGGCGTGTTCTTCTTCTATGGCAAGAAATAACAGTGCTTCTTCTTCATCAGAATTGTCGTATGTATTGTCGCGCGCGAAAATTTCGTTGCGGCTGCGAATATTTCGCGTTGGTTTGGGGGAGCCTTAAAAGAGGGCATTTGTGCACTTCTCAATTTAAAGAGTAGAGATAGTTGTGGAGAACATTTTGCAATACACAAAATTCTCACCATACCGTCTGTGTACATCGTCACGAAGAATTCGGATATCCACAATTATCCGACAAGACGGGGGGGCGAATTGCGAGTTCCACGCCAAAGACTCAAAATAACTCCGAATATTGGGGCACAAAATTCTACAATCACTTACCACAGTCAGTTAGACAATTGCTTTCTAGAAGAATGAATTTGTTCGTTAAGAATTACCTAGCGCAAAACCCAATATACAGGATAAATGAATTTCTCGAAAGATGTATAGAATGAGTTATTCTGTTTTCTTTTCTTTTCTTTTTTCTTGTTTTTGTTTTATATGTCAATATCACATTCTAATTAGATGACATTATGATATGTTGTAATTTCTTATGTATTTGCATCGAATAAAGATTATTATTATTTAATTAAAGATTTCAGTGAAATTCTAAAATTTAAAAAAATTAAACATATATTAGATGTTGATTTGTTTTAGAATTTACTCAACTATTCTTAATAATAGATCTAGAATGGACATGTAACACTAACAGTTAACAGCCTAGAACATTACGATTCATTAACCAAACGAGTTTGCGAAAAATTAAACAACTCACACGCTCATTAAATCTTCTGTGGACGTTACGCGAGTATATGAACCGGAGACATAATGACGTAATAAAATCCGAAGTTGTTGGAACAACTGGACGCTGGCAATAGTAGTTACTATATACGGGGCGTAAACCACTGTTGGAAGCCGTTAGTGACAGATACACCGTTATCTCTTATAGTTCCCACAGACCTATTTTTTTTAATACTTTTTGTTTGGCATGTGAATCGCATCACGAAAAGAACCGGGCCAAAAGAAGATAAACACGAGAATGGGTGGCTAATCTAACAGAAAAACGTAATTACCGCGATTGGATTTTTATTGTAAAGGCTCGACCTAAAGGGGGAAAAGGTTTTTGGGATAGCGAAAGGAAAAGTGGGACAATTGGGGATAGTAGAAGGTTCGTGAATCATTGTTAACTACGACACAATTTCCAATTCAATTAATTTGAAATCGCGATTTAGAATCTTTAATGCGGGCAATTAATTAATTAATTACTTTCGAACATAAAAACAATTGAAACGAATGATAATAAATGAAAACGGTAACTAACCGAACTTCTTCACTTTCGAAAACCATTAGTTAAGCAACGAGGCATGCGGGGGCATGCAATTGTTAGCGATTTACACCCAGCTGAATCCTTTCTAGTTTGATATTCCGGTCGGGGCGAGGCGATTTGTCAGTTCGGAATATAATTAGGCGAGTTCCGAGACTGCCTGGGGCGAGGCGGCACAAATATTTTCCATTTTCCGTTCGGAGCCTGTTAATTAAGGCGTGTTCTGCCACGTGCCTTCTGTTTGCCGGAATTCTAGCGGGATACTACCTGTAATTAATGCGAACAGGTTGCGAGATTACCGTTGGTTTATTTCCAAACGAAACGGATTGTTTTGCAATAATGTGTTTTAAGAGGAAATCCTCGTCAAAGGTAAAATAGGTTAAACATTTACTTTGATAATGGTAATTTATCAATTTGTTTTCAGGTGTTGTTAAAAAGTAAAATTAAAAAAAAGAAGCTATTGTAAGTAGTCGTTATGGAATGAATTAAATACGTTGTTAGCTTAACAAGTCATAAACGATAATATCTCCC